TTTTTTTTATATAAATTTTTAGACTTTTTTCTATCTTCTTTTTGAAATTCTATATATGTATATATTACATTGGAAATATATAAATATATATATATTCCAATGATAACACCCCATACGTGGACGATTTGGCGCGCATAGCGCGCCATATACGCTAGTATATTTAAATAAAGTCCAAATGGAGTTTTTATTCAATTTGCTATATCATAATTTTTTATTACTTTTCAGAGTGGAAGAGAAATATATAATGATAGCGTTTTCGTCGACTGTTTCATATTGTGCATTCAATTTTCATACTTCATCCTATTATTCAATGAAGAAGTTTATGCAACAATTGAATTATCGCAGTTATATCGAGGGACTTCTTCAGGAAGTGGCGAATGCCCAGTGCATGAAGACTTGGGTTACACAGATGACGTTCTCGATCAGCGGAATCACCGGCTTTAGCTCTCTGAACACATCTTAAGCTAGTCCTCACGACGACAGGACTGAACATTAGTTGAATCTCGTTATTGCAAAATCATCGTCGACAATAAGTCTTGTGCATCATCTTGATCACACAATTTAATTCGTGGTGACGATTCTCTCGAGCGTCCCGGATGCTGAGAAATTTATGGTTTACTGATTGATCGAGTTACGTTTACTGAAGTGCTTCCTGGTACCAAGGTGCTTCAATATTTTGCAAGGCACATTGCCTAATGCGAGAAACAATCACATGTATGGAAATAAAATTATTGAATAACCTCATCTCAACTCGATGATTTGTAAAGGGAGAAAATCATTATATCACGTAATCAATCAGTTTGAGTACACTCTAAAAATTAAATGCTTCTGGTCAGTCAAGACACTATATATTGTTGACAAGTATGAACAGAAAACTTTCATCTCAACAACTTCCGTGATTGTGAGAAGTCAGGAAATTCTTCTAAGGATTTTACCCAAAGCTTTATAAAAATCTTGAAAAGTATAAATTTCACTTTTCATAATAAAAAAAAACAACTTGCTATTAGCAAATTGGAAGAATTTTTGAAAGTATATTTTCTACTTTTCCGAAGAATATTTTGCAGTTTTTAAAAGTTAGAAAAGAATTGAAGGTAAGTTGAATTCATGATATTCAGTGTACTTCAACACCATTGAAAATTTTTAGAAGTTTCAAATCTAGAGTTTGCCTTTCTTTGGCTTTCCCCGAGTTTTCCTGCGATTTCCGCCGGAAGCCAGAGTTTCCCTCTGATTCCTTTTGATTTTTCAATTATAGACATATACAAAGTCTCAATGATATATGAAGAACTTTGATTAAAAAGTATGAATTATTCGCGTCATGGACTTCACGTGAGAAGTTGTGACTGTATAAAACGAAAAAGAGGTTTTGAAAAAAATTGTTATATGGCAACTCATTAAGGGGTATTAAAATTTCTTGACTTGACAGATTCCGTACAACTGCAATTATGAATTAAAAAATCTCAGAGTCCGACGTCCTTGAGCCGTTCATCAAAAAGAGGCAAACCACATGCCCGAGGTAAGCGAAAACTTTCGGTTCTAGCCTTGATGCAAACGCAGTGAAAGAGTTGACGAAAATATGCGGCGTATGCTCTCATATTTATTGAGACATGATAGAAAAAGTTAAGAAAAAATTCTGAGCAATTTCTTCCATCGATTAAAAGCAAAAACAATGTATTTGACTGAAAATCAAAAGCTCTGTTAACCCTTGCCTCATTATACCATTAATTTGCTTTTCATTTATTATTTGGTATTGAACAGATCAAGAGGAGTTCTCAGAATTTGTTAATTTTTTAAATATTCTGGTAATTTACAGTTTTCGCGTGCATATGACCTTGAAACCTTCTAAAAATATTGAAAATTTGAGCATTCACTTTAAAATAAATTATTATTACACGAAAAATCCAATTTTCTTGAATTTTCAAGATAATTGAGAAATTTAATGGAAATTTCATTCAAGTTCATGTATGTCAAAATATTAATGAATTTGTGACTTTTAGACTTTGTGACTTTTCAAGTAATATTCAACAAGTGAATATTGAAATTTAAGCCTCAGACCGACATTGAATGATCTTTGCTTCATTGTTCTTAGTGTTACCTTTATTTGCAGAGGTGAGAAAACAGTTATTCTCGATTAGTTCGACTGCATTCCGGTGTGAGGCAGCCTAATTGTGCAGTTAAGATACTCAACCAATTTTTGTCAGGAAGAAATGTGAATGGGGCTAGCTCGCTGATCCATCGTGGAAAATTAATTCGATCCGACAATAATTTAGGCAAGGAAGAATTTATATTGGAGTCACACATCCATGAAAATAATACAATATTAATTGTCCGTGGCTTCAGTATTTGGGTTTGATAATAATGTCAACAACGTATTGTATGGAGTCAATTTTTCTCTTTGAATACTTGAAATTCCACACCTAGTGTCAAACTTTAAAAAATATAGCTTTTTTTTCTCTATCTCCATAATCTATATAAAAAAAAATAACTTACTAAAATTCCAAGTGCCTGCCTCAACTGATTTCTGACCTAGCTTATAACATTAACATTAACGCCTGCAATAATGAGATTTATAATTTCAATTTTAAACGCGTTTTTTAAATCAAATTCTTCGAAGCTCTATCAATTTGTTGAACTTCAATTTCTTCTCACAATTCTGGCGATTATATAAACAATATTTTCTAGTTTAACCATTTTTTTTTCAATTTTAAGTATCTGATCTTTTTTATTTGGAAGAGAATTATAATTATGGATAATTAATTATACATATATGGATAATAATTATAATTATAGATAATTCTTTATCAATCTCTCAATTAAAAATTTCCTATTTTTTGTGGCTGGACAACGGATTTTGTGTTGAGAAATTATAAAATGTCGTCTTCCGGAGAATATCGACGTGTACTTATTTTAGTGACCAAAAAGTTTTTCGAGGATTACTAAAAAAATAACGGTTCAATTTCACTCAACCAAGACTTATAATAGATTCAGATATTTGTTTTCTGGAAATTCATTACGACGTTAACGTCGGCTCAAGGTTGGCTCAGTTCGATCCAACGTCGATCTAAGATTATCTAGTATTGGTCGAATACTGGCGTAACCCCTCAGAAGCATATGGCTAATCAATAATCAATAATGATCGTGTAAAATTATAATCAACAATTCCACTTGTTACATCTTCTACATCAGACATAATGATTGACTCTTCTCAGACCATGAAGATACCAAATAACTTGCTGGAGATGAAATTATTTCATTTAAGAAATTGATTATACATTCACTATCTATGCACAAATATGTATCCTGAAAAATTTTGTTGGAATATTTGATTACAGATCCTCCATTGTAGTACAAAAACTACTCGACAAAGATTTATGACATGCTGGGAAAATAGTCCCAGAAAAAGGACTAGTTTACAATCGTTTCATTTCCACTTTCTAGAACGGTTTAATGTTAACTATATATTGAAATTTGAAGAAGGCCTGCATTCTCTTCTGTCATAAACCCTAACTTTTATTTTTAGTTTTACCAGTGATAATTTTTGCTTTTATAGTGATTGTCAGTCTCTGGACAAGTCTTATTCGGTAAAGACGTTCCTTCCTCGTGTTAATAAAGAAAAGTTTATCAAGTATTAAACGGCTTCTTAAAAATTGTTTATTCACTTGCATCCATATTCCAATAAATGTGAAAAAATTTGAAGGAGGTTTTTTTTTGTTTTCATTAGAAAAAATTTCGAAAACTCATGTTTTTTTAAGCAGTCGCACACTAGGTGTGTCTCTTGAGGTAATGTGGGGTAACAGCGTCATTTATCATAACAAAAATAGTGGTGCAACCAACTGTCAATTGGAATACATGTTCCATTGGAATGATCCTCTGATTTGTGAGGAAGTGGGCACGAACGGGAGAGATGCGAGACGAAACGGTACTTGTTACGGAGAAAGTTTAAACTCTTGTGAGATGGCTCATGAACGAAAGAGTGTCTTGCTCGTTTCTACAACGGAACCGAGCGTAAAAGACGACGAGAAAGAGAGGAAGATGATATTTTTCATGATCATGATGGTAACACGCAGGAGTAAGGTGCCTCGCCAGCCGTTAGTGGGTAAGTGGGACAAATGCTCAGTTAATTATAAATTGTTCCTCCGCGGGATTAACATCAATGAGATGTAATGATCAGAGAAAAAGAATACATAATAAAGGACTTGATCATACCGATCTTCTGGTTTTTCGGGTGTTTATTCTTCGATTGGGTTCAACTTTTTGGCGTCTTTTTTTTTAGTTCACTTTCAAATTCCGAAGAGATCATTTATGACCTCTTTATCAATTTAATTGCTACAGTTCTTAAGAATATAAACCTTTTTTTGTAGGAGAAAATATCTTTTCTATGCAATGCCGAAGGATGATCTGGAAACATACATACTTTGTTAAGTATGCCATTGTTATGATTAAAATGGAAAAATCTAATGGTGACTGGAAAATTTTTCGAAAAATAAAATTGTTTAGTTGTCATTTAGATGTAAATTATTTTTAGTTCCCAAGGAGAACCTGTTGAAAGTAGAGAATGAGTTCAAGAAATATTTTTAGTCAAATGAAATTGTTTGAAAGCGTCAATTGTTATTGCTGTTATTGAGAGACTTTATTGATCATTTGGATAGTGTGAGGAAGTTTGATAGTTTTTTGTGCGTGGGTGCTAATTCAAAATATTCTTACTGTCTTTATAATGTTTCTTCAATAAAGCAGATGGAGTAGAATGATAAGAATGAATTGTTAAACACGATAATAAATTGTCGATGAGTTAGATAGCAGTTTTTCGAGAAGAGATGCTTTCAATTGGCATTCAGTCGTGACTATCTGTTAGGAACTCAGTTGTTCGACGTTGGCCAGATTCATTTTTTTTATTTTTCTTCGCACTTGATACTCAAGTGCACGAGATAGTAACGGAGGGAAAAGTGGAGTCATTCTCCTTCTAGGAGATATGTATTCAAGAATCCTGTGGTTAACCCACTTACCACGTGAGCAGAATCGATATAATAGGTTCGTCAAGTATTTTCAAATGTCTCACTTTTTTCAGAAAACCCACCGTCATTTTCTTCCTTCATTTAAATTTTACGACATCTCTTTAAAATTTCAGTTATAGTCTACATGATAGGATAAAATTCTTCACGAACTTTTCAGATTTTGGAAATTTTTCAAACTTTTTCGTGGATGGAAATTTTAGGGTACTCCTCAAACAGTTGGAAAATTAAATTTGGAATTCCAGGTAAAAAAAGTGAAATTTTTAACACGGAGAAAGCGACATGCAGTTGCTAGGTAGAATTTTTGATTGATGAATCTGTTATTTTTTATTATCTAATTCTGATACCTCTCAATCGTCAGGTCCATATAAAATTAAAAAGGAATTAAAATTGAAAACTAAGTCGAAAATTCAAGCAATAATTTCCCGGAATTTTCCATTAATTGAAAATCCAATTGTATTTGATGTTCGATGAAAATTTAAGCATCAAGAAAAAACAATTGTTCTGAATTTTCAAGAGAAATTATAAATTAACTTAGAACTTATATAATTAGTAATTTAGATAATATTGTCACTGGAATTTCAAGAACTTTTTAACAGTATAAGTTGGTATGGCAATTTTTTCCGAAGGGGTAAAACTCAACTGGATTGCCAAATGGTCAGGTAATTTTTTCTGAATTTTTCCGTTGCGTTGAAAATTTAAGTATTTTGTTATTTTTCCTGTTTTTCTGAGATTTATTGAAAACTATCGATCGGATTGAGACATGAAAATATAGTGCTTGTCCGTTCCATCATTGACTCTTTCATAAAGTTTCACCCCGATCCACAAATTTTTGTAACTTTTCACAAAAATTTAATTAAAAATCAATAAATTTTAGTGAAAAGTTATAAAAATTGGTGTATCGGGATGAAACTTTGTGAAAGAATAAATCATGATGTAACGGACAAAGGCTATATTTTCATATCCCAATCCGATCGATAAATCTCAGATAAATCTCGATAAATCTCAGTTTTCAATAAATCTCAGAAAAATAGGAAAAATAACGAAATACCGGCAGAACATCCTTAAGGTTGTTGTCGCACGACAGTCTCTGTAAAAAGTTTATCCGCTGTAAAACGGGCCAGTTTAGAACACAATATTTTAGCGGTATATAGTCTCACTTGATTGATTGCATTGTGCATGGATAGCTAAAGCATAACTATATATTTTCCATATTAACTATTTTCAATTATATAAATTTATGAATTTCCGATAATTATATTCCGTAAACCAAACGGTCAATCGATTTGATTTTTTTTTCTGTATTTCGTCCCACGATGTATATTCCACGTTTTTTTTTATTTCTGAAACTGTCGAGCCGTTGATTTTTAAAAAATTCTAATCGACAAAACTCCATTTAAACACGTGTTAAATCACTCGAATTTCAAAAATTTATATCTCAAGTTCAAAACGGTCAATTGCAAACGGAAAAGGCTCATTTTGTTGCTAATTTTTCAAACTATTCATCATAAAATTTTTAACGAAAACTGTCGAAAAAAATTCTACGCGACAACAACCTTAAGGGGAAAAGAAAGGCTAGGTACCAGGGGACTGAGTGGTCTGATTTTTCGGGTCCATTGAACAACGTGTGGCTTCTTCTTACTTTCGTACTACCTTAAGATAAAATACCTCCGGCGTTTTTCAACGGCACATGTTTCTCGACCTAGCTTCGAAGATGATTGCCGTGCTCGACCCCGTTTGCTCGAAGTAGGATATGCTGTATCTAATTCCTAGCTCATTTCCACTTTTACACTTCATTCCGTTCATTTGGTTCTCAATATATTTTCTATTTCAATTCGTCATCAATAAATCAAAAGTATTATTCATTCCGTTTTTTTCTCAAGAAGAATTTTGTAATCTATGCATTATATTTTCGAATGTACAGACAAAAATGTCTTGGACAATTACAATTTTATCACCGAATCTCGTATATAATAAATAATAAAAGTACATAATGTAACACATATGCACTGAACAAAAATACGTCTATCAAATAAATATTCTAGAGACGATTAAATATCGAAAAAGTCGATAGAAAATTTTCTTTTAATTTCTTATCTCAAACTGATTGGTATTACACTAATTTATTTATTTAGTAAACGTATTTTTTTCTTGTGGTCAATTTTTAGAGAAATGTAGATGTGAGTACTGCCTTTGGACTGAGGAAAGAACTAATCTTTAGAGGAAAAGAGTGAAATCATGACTAAAAATCGGAAATTTTACCACTGGATTGAAATTTTGTCGGTAATTAAGATCTACTTGAAGTTACAAATTGCGGGAAGTCCAGTTTAGTAATTCATGCGTTTGGAATTTGTCACTATTAAGGGGTACACCTGGTGTCAAACTGGAGAACAATCGATTTTTTAAAGAATATTTCGATAGTCTAGTGTGAAATGGTTTTTAACCTAGAGCCTGACAATGAAATTAATTTTATCTTCAAATTTTTTCTTTTTTCAAACTTTTTCTCAAAAATACATTTTTCAAATTTACCGCAGTTATAACTCGATTACAAATCGTTCGATCTTTTCGATTTTTTTCTATAGATTTTATATATTTTTCCGATTTTCCGATTTCTGGTTTTCGATTGTACGAAAAATGTAATTTTGGCATGTCAAGAATCATCAGATTTTTTTCCAAAAATTTAAACTATATTTCTGCCATTTTGTGAAATTTCCATTTTTTTCACATTTCTGGGTTATTGCACAGACAATAACTTGTGTTGCCTAATATGATTATTTAGGTCAGACTTAGGAAATGGCGAATGACCGCTGAAAATTAAATTATTTTTATTTAAAAAATACATTATATATTTATTATTTATCCACAATTCTATCCTCCAAATTGGCAAACATTTGATGTAGTACATTTTTATGAAAAACTCCCCGAGAATTCATTTTTTCAGGCAATCACACTAGGTGAGCAATTTAAATAAAATCCTAAACGATTCAAAATTCTATAATACGAGTAAAAGATAGAATAAAATATTTAGAGAAAATCGCATCAATCGATCTAACACTTCGTGGAATAAACAAAATTTTTCTAAGCATCGTTGCTTTTGAAGAAATGACATGACCTAAAAATTATTTTACATATATGCACATGATATTTTATTAATATTGCATAAAAAGTTATTATCCACTGAGAAGATACGATAAGATTTGATTTTATTATTATATATAATTAATTCCTTGATTTTTTCCAATCCATGGAAAAATAATTTGGCTATTTACTAAGAGAAATGAAAATTTAATTAGACGTCTCAGGATAAAATATCAAACTGTCATTTTTTGAAGGGATTAAATTTCTGTGGGAAGAACTCTGCAATTAAATTTTTGAAAGGTCGTGTTTTCTAAGGCGTAAAGGTCACTCCTCTTTCTTATTAATTCGAGTGTACTTGACGCTCTTGTCACTCCCGAAAATCCCCGAAAACATCAACACACAACGCCGATAAGTCATTGAGAAATTCTGTTTTTTTGAACGGTCCAGCGACCTTGTGCCAAATACAAGACCCAAGTTCTCCATTTAATTCCAGATTTTCAACTTTCGTAATGATTCGTAAATTTCACTATACTCCTTCGTTTTAGTCATTTCTACGCATGATTAATCCACTGGTCTCAGTTCTCATCACGAAATTTAAATGTCATTTTACTTTGCAGGCTTTTCTTAAATAACTAAATTTCCTACTGCAATAACGTAAAGACCAGATAAATTTTCAGAATCTTGCTGAATAATAAATAATTTCTAAAGTGGTGCGATGGATCGTAAAAAATTTACAGATTTCTTTGACTTTACATTTTAGCGCAAAAGAATTTTCATGATTTTTTTCGGAAAAACCTCTCGCCATTTTATATTATTTTCACACTACGCTGGTGAATTATTCCTTTTTCTCTCTTACTGAATTAGAAATGACTTGTTTCATAGGTGAATGGCAAATGTTTCGTGATTTTAACACATGTATCACCGATGTCTAAAGTGGGGCAAATTCTCTCAATCACTTGGTGTTGCGTGATTAATGATTATTTTTTGAAACATCATCGGTCACAATGTTGTCTAGAATACTACCATTAAAAACAAGTTCATTCATTCAAGTTTATTATTTAACTTGACCTATTATATTAATTGATTAACAATAAAATGATAAATAGTCATCCGAAATAATTCTCCGAAGTAGAGAGATCAATGATTGTTTCATCGCACATTGAGACCACTAGTTACTCATTACTCTCTTACCTCAATTAGTGAGACGTTCTGTCTTTGATAGAAAAACCTTGGAAAAAAATAGTCACTGCACGATATAACAAGTAGTAATATACGGTTTTCGTCAAACTTCAAAAACTTGCTGTTTATTAATCCACACTGAACAACTTAAATCGCACAATGATAAACAAAACTCGGCGAAACTCAACTGATGAACTTGAGAGAGAACTGAAAACTTTGAAACTTGGAACTGTTGAAAAATTGACGAAGCTACCGATGCCGCATCAGATCGAGATCAAAACTCGACGTCACCTTTCTCTCAAAGTTCCACATCGAAAGACACTAAGAGGTACATTCTCCAGTGAGAAACCACTGATTCCTCTCTTCGATTTCAATTCTCAATAATTTCCCGGTATTCAAATTTTTATGAAAACAAAAAATTAATTACTATTGATAAATTTCTCTCCGAAATATTATTTTTTTTTTAAATTATTGAATGCTCGTTTTACAGTGATTTTTATTATTTTTCCACCTCGGTGCAATCATTCATCTGTGCAATGTGAATGGCTATCACAATTTCACAGACAATTGAGTACATAATTCGGGATTTGACCGATTTGAGCGTTTGCTGCAGTGGGAATAAATCGGAGGAGCAAAAGTTGTGGGTTTAAGTATCGGCGACTGAGTGGGGCCTCAGGTTGGGGCCAGGATATGAGAGTGGGAGCATACTCACCTCCCAGTAAGTGTCCGGATTTAATACTTGTGATCTTCGAGTGTAGCCACTGGGTGCAAACATTGTACACGAGGTTTTCTTCACTTATTTTTTTACAGATGCAAGGACGTCGAAGATTCAAGGCCTGAGAATTTTGAGACAGTGCTGTTAAATACAGATGCAAAATGTATGCGGTGGTATTGTGGTTGGCATTAACCTTGGAGTTTGGAGTTTTCACGCAGTGATCATGAGATTTGGTGGTGACTTTATTGGATAGATGATATAGGGAGATATCAGAGTGGTGAGGGCTTTGATGCTCAAAACTATTGCAAAACTTGTTGACACAGTGGATGGAGACTGCGCTTAGTCAGACGTAAAGCTTTGGCATCTGGTGCTAATTTTTTTTTTTAAAACTTCCGTTCTGTTGTATACCCTTACTATTCCCTTTACAACCCCCTCATATCTCTATTCTATCCAACAATTTTATGTGACGTCACAAGATGTGAAACGCTAGAAATAATATATAGATAAATAAGTTTTTGGTCTTCTATGAAAACTGAGTGCCGCGAGAAGAACGGTGGAGCTCGATATGCACAAGAAGTATGAAATGATAAAGTCAATATTTTATAATTTTTTGTAATATTTCGACATAATATTTTGTCCTGCGGCCGGTGTAATCCGAATTTGGAGTATGTATTTGTGCATAAATAATGAATGTATAATACATTTTTCAAACAAAATATTTAATTTTAGAGTGATTCGCTATCTTTTGAGTTTCAAAAGAAGTTTCTCCACTGTTGCAGTGATTATGGCCTTTAGTAACTGATATAAAAGAAAATAAGTGGTGATTGCTTATCGTTTATCATAAAGTTGATCGAGAATGAATGATTGTTTTGATTTTTAACTTTTTATTCGCCTTCTGATTGGCTGATGGATCGATTGATCATTTCCATGGTTACGAGGATGTATTGTGCGATACAGCGCTCACTTAGAGGTACTCTGAGGAAAAAAATTACTTTTGCCAATAATATTTTCTTTCCACCAGTAAATCTGGTAATCACTGTATAAATACTCCCATAAGATTTACTAATGCCAAATATATTTTTTTGTGGTTAGTCAATATGATTGGCTAAAGAAAATAATTACTTTTGTCAATAGTATTTTCTTTCCACCACACGGAGAGAAATTTGTATGAAAAATTCGTACCAGAATCGCTTGAAAAATTACCGGACTGCGCAGTAAGTGTGGAGCATTGCGACCTAGCCATAAATGTTACGGTCCAGTCCAGTAAAATTTCCCAGCTCCGTCACTAAAAAAGTAATGAGAAATCCAGTAAAATTTACTGGAGGTGCAGTAAAATTCACTGGCAGTGTAGGAAAATTTACTAGAAGTGCAGTAAAAAGTGAATAACTAGTACGAATATTTCAGATTTTTAGCAGTACATTTTAGAACATCGAATGAACTTCGGAGAAAATTGAGGATCAGTTCAGTAAATTTTGTTGCTCTGCGCAGTAAATATCCCGGAGAACTGCAGTGATTTTTCATAAATTTCACATGACTTTTCATCAGGGCAGTGCCATTTCCCGCGTTTACTAATGTACGCGCCAGTAATTTTTCGTACATATTTTTCTCCGTGCAGTAAATCTGGCAATCACTATATAAATACTCCCATAAGATTTACTAATGCCAAATATATTTTCTTGCGGTTAGTAAATATTATTGGCTAAAGAAATTTTTTTTTCAGTGTAGAGCAACAGCGCTCACAATTGCCTAATGGTTTTATACAATGATCCGAAAATAATTCGAAAAGCAGAAAAGACGACTCGATTAGGAACCAATTGATAGTGTCAGTTATTTTTTTTTACGAAGAAATACCTCAATCCCACAATTTTCAGATTCCAAGAGGAAATATTTTATTACTCTGTCTAATTCTTTTTTCAATATTCAAATGAATATGACCGACTGAGTAGACTGAGTAGTGACTGAGTGGTTAGAGTGTTAGACTAGCATCCCAATGATTCGGGTTAGGAAGTGGGAAGGAAAAAAATCGTAAAGATCCGCAAGGGTATACGAGAGGAAAAGTTTTTTCATTCAAATGAATATCATTTGACATATTCAGTTGAATTTGGTAATAAATTGAGCCAACCACAGCCCAACCTTGGACTTACATTGGATTAACATTGGAGCAACATTGAACCAGCATTGGACCGACGTCAACGACGCGAATTTCTAGGAAACTAATAACAGAATTATCCTTCTCTTCGAATCTGAATCGAGTCTATTAAGGATGTTTTGCGGATATTTTGTTATTTTTCTTATTTTTCTGCAATTTATTGAAAACTACCGATCGGATTGGGATATGAAAATATACAATATATATAATATAATTTATATATAATATAAATATAATATATTTTCTCATAAAAAATTGATGGCCTTGATTAAAAAAGCGTGAAATTTCGAGTAAGATGAAGACTCAAGCCCAAAGTTATTCATCCAAACATGAAACATTCCACATTCGAAAGCCAATGATTTACAAATTTTCCATTCGGAACTAAAAACTTTTACAGTAAAAAATATTGTTTATACAATTACCCAGGACCGTTAAAAAAAGTGAATTTCAACAAAATGGAAAAAATGGCAGGATTTTGAAACAAAGTTAACTCAAAAATCTGATGATTTTTGGCATCCTGAAATTATATTTTTCATGTAATAGAAAAACTTGCGGGTTATTGTATAGAGAAGCATGTATAAAATATGCAGAAAAAAAAACCCAATCGTTCCGTAAAATTCTCCATACTTTTCGACTTTCTGTTCCGCAATTGTGGAAAAGATACGTCATTTTAATTGAACATTTCTATGCGTACAAGATACCCATTATACTATAATTTATACGAATGATATTTTGTTTTAGTGTCTCTTGTTCTATCCTCGCTTGAATATTCAGGGAATCAAAGCTGGTGGTGCGTTATTATGTAAGTGTTATAATCCGATGACTTCATTTAATTGAAAATTCTGGATCCTCAAGGTGGAACTGCTATTTTCGGTTCAAACTGGTTTTCATTTACGAAAAAAGCCAGAGACTATTCTGCTAATAATAAGAATCTAAATATATCTGTATTGAAAAGCAATATAATAACCTATTTTTACAAAAATATATTCTGAACTAAAACTCTTTACTTGTAAAATCTACACTTATAGTTTTATTTTTGCGATTATGATTCATTTGATTTTGTATTTAAAGATGTGAAGAATCATTTACGGATTTCTTATCACTTTGCGGTTTATATTTTCGGTACATATATACAAAAAAAAATCATTATTGCTGTAAAAATGAAGTTTCTGCACTGCGAAGATTCTCTTCAAATTTCAGCTCCAAAATCATTTGAATAATTAATGATGGGAGTGTGAATTAAAGTTCAATTGAAAATGCTCAATATATTTTTCATTTCCCTTAAAGATTTGACATCAAGAACAATTGAATTGTCAATAGATTGGAAATTTAGGGAATTAGTAGTTATATTTTCAGAATTGTTACAATTTTTTAGTAAGAAGAAAATTGAAAGTGTTCATACTTCAAATTTCAAGTTTAATTTTTCAGCAGTGTAGATTGAAAAAAAGTATTTTCCTGATTCTACAAAACTTTAAAAGAAGTTTCTTCGTATGCAGACATTACTTCGGAATCTGAAAAATTTATATAACAGCAAGACTTTTTTTTACATTAAGACAAGATTCTTTCTCTTGCGTCTTTAATTAATGCTTAATTTTTAGTCTTTGTTTGTAAAACTTTCTAATTTTCGTTTATGTCTCATCAAGACGTGAATATCTAGTAACACATTAGAGTGAATTATGAACTTTGAAAATTGACGGATGTGTATTCATTTTAGTTTTTCGCCGATTAATTTTTATTAAAACTTAAGACCCGGGTGGACTATCTATCGTCATCTTTTGTTTAAATTTTATCTTTTTAGCCTAAAAGATATTAAAATTTAGGATTAAATTTGTGTTGCGGGAAGCACTTGAACGGACATAAAAAATAATTTTTAAAAAAGAGGTAAAATTATTGAAAGGCGCTAAAGAGTGATATTGATTAAAAGGGGTCTACCAACTTTACTAAAAAATAATAAAAAATATGTAACTCATTATATATGTCATATATAGATGTATATATATCTGATATATAATTGCGGCCATAAATGCAATGTGTCACATCATGGTAAGCTATGTATTTTTTATCATTTATTAGTAAACTTGATAGATCCTTTTTAAACAATATCGCTCTTTAGCGCCCTCCAATAATTTTTCCTCTTTTTTTCCATTATTTTTTTATGTCCATTCAAGTGCTTTCCGCAACACAAATTTGATCCCAAATTTTAATGGATTTTAACCTAAAATGATCAAATTTAAATAAAAGATGATGTTCGATAGCTGGTTCACCTGGGTCTTAAATAAAAATTTTAATGTCGAGTCCATTCTATTTCCCATAAACAGTATTTTTCACCCCTAGGACGGAAAAAGAGAATCTGACGAATGCGACTTTATAGTCCGAGTCGGAGACGAGGATTATAACGCGCATGACTTAGAAACGCGTTTTATCGGCCGCAATGACATAAATGAAATTTAAGCGACTATAATCTAATAGAAAATCTTCAACATGTCACATAATATCGCTAAAAAATTTCAAGTGCGTATGGCGTTTTTCATTTCACAATTTTCCATGTATAGTTATGGAAAAAATGTATTGTACGTTGCC